ACACCTGTGTCAGGCTGGGGCGGGGGCAGGGTTACCATCAGGGCAGAGACCCTGACCAGCGAGTGTGCCCGGCTCCATCCCTACTTGGTATCAGACCCCTGTGTGTGCACTTTGCTCTCAGAGGATGTCCTAACCACCCAGGGCAGCTTGGAGCCCCATCTGAGCTCTGGCTTCGGGCCTGGGCCTGCAGCTCTGCCCCTCAAAGACAGGAGGAGATCAGGGTCAAGGGTGATAGGTCAGCGGTGGGAGCTTCTTCTAACAGCCTGTTCCTGCCGGAGTGAGGCGCTAAGCCCAGAGCTGGCCTTGGACAAGGAAACACACACTGACTGGAGCCCGGAGACCCCTGGGCCTTGGTTTGCAGGGCTGCAGTTTATAAGCAAGGCTCTCTCCTGCCCAGAAGTTCCTGGGTTCTAAGCGGCTCCTGCCAGGTCCTGGGTCCTGCGGGAGGAAGATGCTGGGCGCCCCCTGCAGGCCTGTCCAGGAACTGACCCTCAAGGGGCCCAGGGGAGCCCTGAGAGAGGGGCCCCTTTGCTGGCCCAGATGAGAGCCCCCAGGACTGGCCAGCCCCTCCCCTTCCGGGTGCCCAGCCCTGTTGCTGACTGTGAATCTGAACTTACTAGAATCTGACTGCTGACCTTTCCCTCAGCCTCCTGTTCCCCGACTGCACAGGGGACCCCCACCATCTGTGCTGCACCTTCCAGCCCCACCCAGGGCTCTACCGGCTCAGGCTCCAGGCCCCCGCTCTACTTTCTCACGTCCCCACGCTTGCATTTCCTCTCTCCCCTCCCTCCCACCTGCAGGGATAAGGACAGGTTTGGGGGAAGGGGCCCCTGAAGCTGTCCTAGACACTAGGGGTCTGCGCACCCCCTTCCCAGGGAACATTGATGTTTTCCTGGGAAGAATGCTCTGCCTCTCTGAACTGTGCTGGAGAGAGTCCCACAGGCTGCCCCTGAACCCCTGTCCCCCATCCTGAGGGAGGCACGGAGACACCCAGAGGTGGGAGCCCCCCGAGGCACCAAGGGCCTCATCCAAGTTCAGCCCCCGTGACCCGGCATCCCCAGACTCTTCTTCTCAAGGTAAACAGCAGCACTTGTCTTTCTCTCACCAACCCAGCTGACGTGTGGGACGGTACCGGGGCCCAGGGCGGACAAGTAGTGAGGTGACCGGAGAAGCAGGGGCTGAGGGCTGTTGTCACTGCTGGGGCTCTGGGCTTCAAGCCCACCCTCCTGTCCCTTGCCTTTGGGGGTCTCCCCCTTAAGGTGGGGAGGGGGAAGAACCCTGCAGGAAATAGGGGCACGAGCACAGCTCCTGATTAGGGGGGGGTCCCCGCATATTCAGTTCCTTTGACCTGAGGCCATGTGGGTGAGGGCTCACGCTGAAGCCCCCAGCCCTGCCCTGCCGCATACCGGATCCTGGGCTGAGCTCACATAGCCCTGTCACGGGGCCATGCTGTCCCCTGCTGGCCGCGCCATGAAATGCAGTCCAGGTCAGCCCCAAAGTGCAGGCTGGAGACCCCGGGCTCCGCCCGACCACCCCCCAGCCACAGTGACACTCAGACTACATGGGGAGACACGTCTGGATCCGCCTGGCACACAACCGTGTGTGCTGAACGGGCAACGAATGGATGAATGAACTGTGTCTGACACATTTAGGTGATAATGCTCTGCAGGGTCTGACCAACAGCAGTGTGGGGAGAAAAGTATTAATGACTCAGTGGTGTCCAACTCTGCTACCTCATGGACTGTAGCCGCCAGGCTCCTCTGTCCATGGGATTCTCAAGGCAAAAATACTGGAGTGGGTTGCCATGCCCTTCTCCAGGGTATCTTCCAGACCCAGGGATCAAACCCGGGTCTCCTGCATTGTGGGCAGATTCTTTACCATCTCAGCCACCAGAAAGCAGACAAGACATATCTAGCAGGACTTGAGACTCCTCTTCAGGTGACCAGATCTAAATATGAAAACCAGTGTGAGGCGTCAAATGGTGCTAGACTGTGACATAGGTGGCCCTAGACAGGCTCAGTCGTGTCCGACTCTTTGCGCCCCCACGGACTATACAGTCCATGGAATTCTCTTAGCCAGAATACTGGAGTGGGTTGCCGTTCCCTTTTCCAGAGCATCTTCCCAACCCAGGGATCGAACCCAGGTCTCCCACATTGCAGGTGGATTCTTTACCAGCTGAACCACAAGGGAAGCCCCGTAGACAGGCTGAGCCTCGTTAAAGTGGCTAGTCATGCAGTAAGTGCCCAGGACTGATGGAGATGGTCTTCATAGAAGCATGGAGAGGTCAAAGGGGGCATCACATGGCAGGGATGGAAATCATAGGACCCCCCGAGGAGACCCCAGGCTGGCCATTTAGCATGGAAGGTAGAAAGAGGGAAACACCTCTTGTGTTTTTTGGTTTTTTTGGCTTGACCTTGCTGCACCAACTGTGGGATCTTAGTTCCCCAATGACCAGTGCTTGAGCCAGGCCCTCCCTTGTCAGTGGAAGCAGGACCACAGGACCTCCAGGGAATTCCCAGCACCTCCCATGTCTTTGATGCTGATGTCACACCAGGTACATTTTCCTCCTGTTGTTTCACAACCATTCTGTGAAACAAGTGCTGTTATTATCCCTGAAGTAAATGGATCAGACATGGTCAGTGCCTTGTTCAGGGTTCTACGGCACAGATGTGCTAGAGCCAGGATGCAGGCCTCACCTCTCGAGATTTGGTGGTCAGGTTCCCGCATGTGAACTCAAGGGTTTTCAGCAGGAGATGATGTGCTCAGGACAGACGATGGAGTGGGAGGTTGGATGGTGGCTTGAAAGACTATTGTGCAACCCAGTGGGGAAAGAAGCAGCTCCTTGTTCCACAGACAGGCCTCCTAGATGGAAGAGAAGGGCCTCTGAGACCAGACCGGTGGCCTCCTCTGCCCAACCTCTGTCCCACGTGGGCAGTGGGCTGGGGGCAGCCCAGCAGGGTACCCAGAGAGGAGGAGCTGGAAGTGTAGGCATGGGTGGGCCTCCTCCCAAGGTCCAGGCCTGGCACTGATGGTGTCTGGCCTGGGGCATCCCACCACCCTTTCTCAGAGAGAGGGCTTTGTTGGGGGGTAGACATGCTGTGGCGGGTAGCTTGTTAGATCAGAGCCAGTCCTCAGCAGGGAGGCCTATCAGGAAGGCAGGGCTCTGCCTGCTCATACTCTCGTCCCCCCTCACTGGCTGTGACTTAAGAGCTTAGGGAGGGGACGGGGCTCACCCCAAGCACTGCCTGCACCTCCAGGAACAGGACTCGTATCCCCCAACTGCCGCCCAGCCTCCTGGGGCTCCTCCCTGACCTCTCCCACCCCCGTGGGCGCAGCACGGGCCTGACATGCAGCCCAGTGTGGGCTGCCCTAGGGAGGATCTCCCCTAGACTGGGCAAGGGCCTGAGAGTCTCCCCTGCGGGGGGCCAGGTGGGGAGGCTGGCAGGCTCTCCCCACGCAGGGCCCCAGCTCATACTGGAGTCCCTTCCTGAAGGCTTCAGCTCTTAGACACGTACGTGATCCATCTGTCCTCCACAGGCACCCTGGGTGGGAAAGCAGCCCGTGGGCCCCCTGCCCCAGATCAGGAGGCAGGGGGCTGCTGACCTCTGTGCTGTGATCCGGCCTCCCCCTCTGCCCATTGGTCCCGTCAGTCCCTGCTCCTCCCTGGGACTCTTGGTCTACTTTCAGCTTTCCTGTTTGGAGCCAGATCCATTCATACTTGTTGATCCTAATTACACTCAGGTGAAGCAAAACCAGAAGGTTAACTCCTAGAAGAGAAACTCTCAGTGGTTTGAACACCCCTACAGGACTACAGTCCTGAAAGTGAAGTCCACTCAGTCATGTCTGACTCTTTGCAACCCCATGAACTGGAGCCCACCAGGCTCCTCCTCCGTCCATGAAATTTTCCAGGTAAGAATACTGGAGTGGGTTGCCATTTCCTTCTCCAGGGGATCTTCCTGACCCAGAGATCAAACCCAGGTCTCCCGCACTGCGGACAGATGCTTTACCATCTGAGCCACTTGGACCCATACAGTACGTTTGGGCTTCCCAGGTGGCACTAGTGGTAAAGAACCTGCCTGCCAATGCAGGAGACATAAGAGATACGGGTTCGATCCCTGGGTTGGGAAGATCCACTGGAGAAGGGCATGGCAATCCATTCCAGTATTCTTGCCTGGAGAATCCCACGAACAGAAGAGGTTGGTTGGCTACAGTCCATAGCGTCGCAAAGAGTCAGACACGACTGAAGCAACTTAGCATGTACACACACTACGTTGTCTTGTCCCCAAATGCCTGAATTTCCTCTGCCATCTGTGACTGTCCTGTTCATCCTCAGAAACCCTCATCTTTCCAGGGAGGAAAAGGAGCCAAGCGCTCCTGGGAACAGGGAGCCTTGGGTCCACACACCTGCCTCCGCATGGCCCCGCAGAGCCCCCTGGGTTCTTCTGGCCTGCTCAGGCACAGGAGATGCCCCCAGCATTCTGGGAAGCTTCATCATTCAGCAGAGATCTTTACTAAACACCTTCTCTGGGTCGGGTGAAGTCCCAAGCACGGGGGCTGCAGCTGGGAATAAGACAGGCACCCTCCCCAGACCCCCATCTGGTGGGGGATGCAGCGCACGAGGTGACCCACCAGCAGAGAGGAGTACAGACTGATTAGTGCAGTAAGGGGCATGAGCAGAGGGGTGAGGGAGAAAGCAGCTTGCAGGAAATAAGCTGGGGTGCATGCTCCGTGATGACCTAGAGGGATGAGGTGGGAGGTGGGGGGGAAGGGAGGCTCATGAGGGAGGGGTTATATGTGTACTCACAGCTGGTTCACGTTGTACAGCAGAAACCAACACTGCTATTGTAAAGCAATTATCCTCCAAATAAAAATAAATTTATAAAAGTATACTGGATGCCAGGAGGGCATCTTTAAGCCAAAACAAGGATACAAGAGAGCCAGCCAACCGAGAAACGAGTAAGAATGACCCCGCCATGTTCCCACCACACCCCCTGCTGCAGGCTCGTGGAGGAGTTCATGCTCTTGGCCAACATGGCCGTGGCCCACAAGATCCACCGCGCCTTCCCCGAGCGAGCCCTGCTGCGGAGGCACCCCCCACCCCAGACCAAGATGCTCAATGACCTGGTGGAATTCTGTGAGCAGATGGGGCTACCCATGGACTTCAGCTCTGCGGGGGCCCTCAATGTGAGTGCCGGGAACACAGGGGCTGGGAGGCCCTGATGGGGAAAGCAGGAGGCAGGCCAGGAAGCCTGGTTTCAGTAGCCAACTGCATCCCACCAGGGTCTCTTGCCCTTCAGCCCAGTCTCCCCCACAATGGAGACAGGAAGCCCTGGGGACAAGGCCTTCATCTCGCAGGGTCTGGCGGGGAGCCCAGGAGACTGAGGGGGTGCCCTCGGGCCTAGCTGTGGGCAGGGGTCCTGTGGGCAGGAATAGGCTGGGCTCAGGCTCTCTCAGGGCACTAGGATTAGTGGAAACCAGAGGCTGTTTTTCATGGTAGGGGGTGTCAGATACTCCCCACCCAGAACTGAGCATCATGTGACTCAGTAACCCATGACCTGGGCCCTGATTCCACAGCAGGGGGACTGGCCCCATCCGCTCTGGGCCTGGGGTGCCCGAGGTCAGACAGGAAGCCATTCTGTCCAGGCCAGCCAGACAGACAGACGTGGAAGGACTACCCTCGAGCCAGGACCCTCAAGGCAGGCCCAGCCTGGGACATAGGCTGTGGGCTGCTGGCCATCCCCCTCCACCAAAGCCCTGCAGGCCACCCATGGCCACCTGAGCAGGGCTGGGGCCCTCGGCTGGTCTTTCCTCCCAGAGCCAGGTCTCAGGTGATCAGTGGGTGACAGGGCCCCCGAGCCTCTCTCCCCAGGCCTGACTGCATTTCATGTGGTTCTTCTAGAAAACTCTGACCGAAATGTTCGGAGATGACAAGTACTCCCTGGCCCGGAAGGAGGTGCTTACCAACATGTGCTCCCGGCCCATGCAGGTAAGGCAGGGCCAGTCCTCCATCCACCCTGCCTTCCCCCCCGCCCCGCCCCCCGGGAGCACACAGGACCTCTCCAGGCTCGGGGAACCTGACGGGAGGTGTGGGGAGAGGGGAGATGTGGGGAGGATGCCCCCCCGGGGAAACATCCAGGACAGGTGGCCCCGGGCTCCTTGCCACCTCCTGCTCTGACTTGCCAGCCTGTCCTGCTCAAGGGCCGCTTGTCTGGGGCTCGTTAGAGGAGTCACTTGAGCCTCGCTTCTCCCGCTGCACAGCCCCTGGGGCTCTGTTTCCTGGCAGCAGGAGGGGAGCCACCCCAGGTACCCACCCCGCAACACTCCAGGGCCTGGTCCCCACAGATCAGACCAGCTTGGGCTCAAATGCAGCCTGGTCAGCAATTCATGGGACAAGTCTCCTTGTCCCAGATGATCACAAGAGGAGGAATCAGGTGTGGGCCTCTGTCTGCAACTGGAAGTTAGGCTGGCCACCGAGGAGGTAGACAGTGGATTGGCTTCTGGCCACCAGTTTCAGCCCTCCAAGGCTGAGCTTGGAGGCCCTGGGGGGCTGAGCATTTTGGGAAGGACCCCCCCCCCCCCAGCTCCCAGTGTCCTGTCTGGTCAGTGAGAGCTGCCAGTGTGAACAGGAGCGGTGGTGGGCCCAGTGCAGCCTGGGGGTGCTGTCCACAGGCTCCGTCACTGGGCAGATCCCGTTTGTCCACAAGAACCTCAGCGGCTCACAGTTGACTTCTGAGGCCTCTGGCTCTGCTAGGGATTGGGCCATCAGGTCCATTTGGGTCTGGCTGCCTTAGCCCTGCCGCCACTCACAAATGTCTGCCCCACACCAGGCACCATAAAGCACCCCCCACAATGGAGAGGGAAGGCGTGCATCTCTGGCCACTGGGCTTGACACCACAAACGAGGCCGATGGGGACCCCATTTCTTCCGCCAGCCTCTGGAAACCACCTACCCCCAAGGGAAACCCAGCCCTGAAGCTCCAGGGGTAGGGGTCCCGTCCTCAGTCACCCAGAGCCTAACAAAGACCAGACTCACCCTGGCCTCTCCTGCAGTGACCTCAGAGATCAGTCTCTGCCTGGGATCTGATATCAGGGAGGGACCAGAGAGACCAGGGTGCCTGGTCCCCTGTCTCTGCCCCATTTCTGGGTCCCCATCTGTCCCACGCTACCCAGAGATACCTGCACTGCCCAGGAAGGGGGCTGGGACCCTCTGCCCTCCGCACCCAGCTCGTCTGGGGACCTGGGCCACTGCTGAGGACAAAGGCCAAACGTGGCTCCCAGGGGAGGCGGCTCCCACCTCCCTGGTCGACTCACCCCCGACATAACCAGGGCCCAGGGGGAACCGGAAGGGAAGCGGAGCCCAGCAGCAGAGCAGGTCAGCTCCAGCTGCGTCCTGGCTTCCAGGGCTTTCAATCACAGAGTAACCAGAGCTGGCTGTGCGTTCGGCCCAACACCCGGGAGCGTGTGAGAGTGTGAGGGTGTGAGTGTGAGCAAGTGGCAAGGGAGAGAGCGAGTGAACACACGCGGGTGTGACTCAGGCCCTGGCCGAAGAACCTGATCACTGGCTCCCAGGCACCATGGCATCTCCAGGGACAGTGGCCCGGGCTCTCAGCACAGCTGCCCGGTGGGAGCCGGGCTGTTTGCTGTGCCCCTAGAGACACTCAGTGTCCCCCCCGCTGGGCCTCAGTCCTTACTCCTGCCCTATAGGAGGGCCTTCTGACCTCAGCGCTCGGGGTCTTGGTCTCAGGACAGGTTGTCAGGGCCAAGAAGGGCCAAGGCTGGGAGGCTGACCAACCGCTGCCTCCCTTGGCTGTTGAAAGGTCAAGCCTTGGGGGCTCAGGGGTGCCAGGGTGCAGGCGTGGCCGTCAGCAGGTCAGGAGTCAGGGCCAGAGGTCTGAGGTTGGTCAGTAATGACCCAAGGCAGGGCCAGGGCCAGAGAGGACAAGTCAGGCGCCTGTTTTGCTCTGGGTGGGGGCGTCCTGGACCTTCTCTCCTACCTCGCACTCTGGCCACATGGGGCCATCAGGCGTGTGACTTGGTTAAGAACACTTCCGGCCCCTGGCCTGGCATGGCCATGGCTTCCCGAGTAGCCACCCCCAGTCCCGTTCTAGGGAGGGGCAACCAGAACAGTTCCTTCCTCCTGGGTCCCAGCAGTAACAGCCCCTAAAACCCAGCAGTGAGCTGCTGTGGACGAGGATGGGTCCAGCTCCTCCCTGAAGTCCTCTGACTTCAGCCTGTGGTCCCCCTGCCCTTCACCTCTGCCTCCCCGAGGGCTGGCATGGCTGCTCCCCCAGGACTCAGAGAGGAGGCCTTTCAACATCTTAAGGGTTCCTAGCAAGAAGCACGCGTCCTTCCCCTGCCATCCCCCACCCCAGTGACTCCACTTCCAATCCCCAGAGTCTGGGTAAGCCCCACACTGGGCCTCAGCAGGAGAGGAGCGAGGGCTACCATGACTCTGCCCAGCCCCATGGCAGCCCCAAGGGTACCCCCTGCCCCGTATGGAACAGCCCCTGGTCTCTGCAGACCTCCCAGCTTTGCACAGCTGCCCACACCTGGCAGGTGGGCCCACGCTCCCAGCGCCCCGCCTGGTGAGTCTCCCAGGCTCTCAGAGTACACCAGACCCCCACCTGGTCTGGCCCAGCTCTGAGGTACCCCCCCACCCCTAACCCCCAGATGGCCGTGTACTTCTGCTCGGGAGCGCTGCAGGACCCAGCCCAGTTCCGCCACTACGCCCTCAACGTGCCGCTCTACACACACTTCACCTCCCCGATCCGCCGCTTCGCAGATGTCTTGGTTCACCGCCTCCTGGCCACCGCACTGGGTAAGGGGGCAGCCCCCGGGGGCGGTGCCAGCCATGCCCAGAGTGGGTGCCTGGCGGCTAGAGGCCACAGTGCCATCGCTGGGAGGCCCTGGTGGGTGGGGTGGGCATCCTGAGTCGCAGGGCAGCCTGTGCCCAGAATCTCTCCCTGTGAGCACATGCTCAGGGCCCCTGGGCCCTCACCGTGGCCACACCCCTTTCTTGGCCCACCCGAGCCGGGCGCAGGGAGGCCGCACTCCGCCTGGGCCGTCGGCACCGTGCTGCTGCTCCCTGCACCTTCCCGTGAACCCCTGACCACGCTCTGCCCAGGCTACCGGGAACTTCCAGACGTGGAGCCCGACGCCCTGCAGAAGCAGGCCGACCACTGCAATGACCGCCGCATGGCGTCCAAGCGCGTGCAGGAGCTCAGCACCGGCCTCTTCTTCGCCATTCTGGTCAGGGTGAGGCCACCAGCCGTCCCCACCCCTTCCCCTGCCTGCGCCCCACCACCCCGCCTGGCGCCTACACAAGGAGTCCCCCTGGGAATCCCGGCCCCTCAGCAGCTGGGGTGGGCCCCGGGGAAACGCCCCATTCCTTGGCCGAGCCCTGGCTGGAGCCCTGCCCCCGCAGGAGAGTGGCCCCCTGGAGTCAGAAGCCATGGTGATGGGCATCCTGAACCAAGCCTTCGACGTGCTGGTGCTGCGTTACGGGGTGCAGAAGCGTGTGTACTGTAACGTGAGTGCCGGGCTCCTGGGGGAGTCAGGATGCTCTGGGCTGATTCAGGATGCTCTGGACCCTGAGGGGAGGCGGGATGTTCTGGGCTCCAGGGGAGTCAGGATGGGTGGGCAGAGGGAGCACCAAGCTGTGTCCACTCAGCACACTTCCTACCTGCCTGTCCCTGTTCCCGCTGCGAGTCTACTTCATTTTTCCAGCATTTGCTGCGGTCTTGGCCGAGGGACAGCCCTTGTTAGACTCACGAGCAGGCAGGATGGGAGCCTAGGCCAAGAGCCCCCATCCCTGTCCACATGGCGGTGGTGACACTGCACCCCTCACTCACCTGTGGTGGCACCGAGTCCTTGGAATAGGCCTGCCGAGACACCCCACTGTCCTGCCTGGGGCCAGGGGTCCCGGTCAAAGGTCAGCCTTGGGCCTCTTTCCCAAGGTCTCAAGTAAAGAGACCAGGTCCATCCCAAACCAGAGTAGGTGGCAGGGGAGGCAGATTTAGGAGAAATTTTTTTTTTAAAGAACATGGGAAAAGGAAAGATCAGAGAGAATGGCCCGAGGCCAAGCTGGAAGCTGTGTCCCTGAAAAAAAGGAAGAGGCCAGCCTTTGTCTTGGTCCCGCCCTGGGGGCACTCTGTTTGAGGTTCTTTCTGAGGGTAGTTGATGCTGCTCCATGGCTACCTGAGGAACCTGTTCTAGCTGACCCCTGACCCCAGCTGTGATTTCCCAACACCCAAAGCACTTTGGGGAGTGCAGAATCCAGCATGGAGTGTGGAATAAACACAGTTTGAATAAAATGGACTAAAGCAGGGGAGACGATATGGCGTCCAGCAGGAATCAAGTCAGGCTCCTATTGGGAATTCCCCTGGCTGTCCAGTGGTTACAGCTTTGCACTTTCATTGCCGAAGGCAAGGGTTCGATCCCCAGGCAGGGAGCGAAGTTCCCACAAGCTGCATGATGTGGCCAGTAAAAATGCTGGACTCTTGTCCTGAAGTTCATTGACACAGTGGGATTCAGGTCTCTGGTCTCTGCTCACAGCCCAGCCCCTCCTCTGTCTGTGCTGACAGACCCAGGCCTGGAGGGGTGGCGGCCCTCCAGCCCCAGGTGCCCGGTCCACCTCCACCCACGTGGACAGTCCCTGATGAAACGGACAGGGCCACCACCTGCCCCAGTAACACACGGAGCCCCCAGCCCCTCGCCGCCCCCACCCCTCGGCGAAGGTGGCTTGTCTCTGCAGCCTCCCCAAAGGGGCCAGAGGCAAGAGGTGAAGGTTGGGGGGGGGGGGGTCCTTCCCCATCAAAGGTCAAGCAGCCCAGAGCCAGGCGGCAGGGCAGGGAGCTCCATCACGGGTCAGTCAGAGGTGGGCCAAGGCGGGGACTGCTTCCAAGGTCTGGGGGGAGGGGGAACCTTGCAGGGTCAGAGGTTAAGAGGCGGCGCCTGGAGCCTGGGTCCTGAGGCGCAGGCGTGTGCACCGCACCCCCCCCTCCCCGCACAGATGCTGCCCCTGCGGTCCCACCATTTCCAGAAGGTGGGCAAGAAGCCAGAGCTCACGCTCGTATGGGAGCCCGAGGACTTGGAACAGGAGCCAGTGCAGCAGGTGAGGCGAGGGTGGGGCTGCCTTCCCAGAGCCACTCTGCCTCCCCGTCTGCCCAGCTCTTTGGCGAGCCCCCTCCTGCCTTGTGGGGTGTCCTCCACAGGGCTCTCCTCCTGGGGCCCCCTGCCCTGCACCCAACTCCCCCCTCCCCACCCTGTGGGCCCGGCCTCCCGGCATCGCCACTCTGGGGACAGGCCAGGCCTCCACCTGCCCCTCTAAAGCAGGGGGTCCTCAGCTTTGGGGTCCATTTGAAACTCTGATGAATGCTGTGTAGACCTCCTATGCAGGAGGACAGATTTCACCTACAGCGGGCCTCGCAGGCCAGACCCAGATGGTGAAGTTTTCTCCCTGGCACTGAGCGGCCTCCACCAGGCATAGCACAAAGCAGCACCGGGCTCCTTCCCTTCTCACCAGGACCCCACAGCCTCCTCGGCCCTTGAACAAGCACAGCTTACAGACAGGCCCGCGGAGGCTGAGACAGGCAGAGCCAGGGCCCCCGGGGCCCAGCTGGGTGGACTGGCAGAGCTGGGCTTTGCCTGAAGTCCCTGCTGTGCCCCTGGCTGGGCCCTCCCAGTCACCCTGCCGGGCCTTCCTCACCCTCAGGTCATCACCGTCTTCAGCCTGGTGGAGGTGGTGCTGCAGGCAGAGGCCACCGCCCTCAAGTACAGCGCCGTCCTGAAGCGACCGGGCACTGAGGGCCTCCTGGACCCGCAGGACCAGCTGGGGTGTGGTGACCACAAGGAGGAGCAAGACTGAAGCTGCCAGCCTGGCCGCGCCCCTCTCCCCCCGCCCCTCTGCCCCCGCTGGATTTTAGGAATAGGACCTTTTGACACCAACGGGGATTTTTTTTTTTTAATTTGGTTTTTAACAACTCAGGGTTTTGTTTTTATTTTTTTCATCCTGTTTTATTTCTGCAGCTCAGTTTTTAAGCTGGAGGGGGGAGAAGGTGGGGCTGAGAAGAAGGGACGGAAGGCGGAGGCCTGGCCGGTGCTCAGCCACCCAGAGCTCGACCCAGTCCTCCTGGAGGCCAGCCCCCCTGCTGCCCCGTTACCCACTGCCCACCCCTGCCCAGGAAACCAGGGGTTTTCAGCAAATCAGTGTCGTGGAATAAAATCAAGTGTGAAGTGCTGTCTGGGTGTGGGGCGGCTGGGTGCCCCTTAGACTCAGGATGTGGAGCCTGGGCCGGCTCCACCCCTCATGGCTCAGCTCAGGTGGCCGCCCTCAGGAATCTCCTGTCAGGTCCAGGAAGATTCATGGAGCTGGCCACGTGACAGATGGAGGCCAGGGCCTCAGTCTGGCTGATTAGAAATGGAATTAGTATGCCAGACGGCAAGCGCACCCATCACCCTGTGCAGGTGGCTATGACCATCCCCACCCCCACTTCCTCTTGGCCTGCTGGCCCCCCATAGCCTCAAGAGGGGGGCCTGGGTCCTATGACACCCCCACTGCCAAGGCTGGAGCTCTGGAAGGGAAATAGGTGAGGTCTGGTGGTTTGGTGATGGGTGAAGGGGTTTCTGCAGCCTGGGCAGCCTGACAGAGAGCCCGAGGGTGAGACATCTCCACCTGCCCCCCACACCCCCGCACCCCTGCCCGGGGGGGATCAGGCCCCTCTCCTTCAGAGGGACACCCTCAGGGCAGAGATGGGTCAGCGTGCTGGGTGGACCCAGGGCAGCATGGCCCCAGGCCGGACACCCTTCCTCACAGCCCCAGAGCCCCGGACCCTGGTGAAGCATAGCCAGCTTGGTCAGCAGGGAAGGTGTTTGCTGCCTGGACTTGCCAGGCAAGCAGAGGCTGGCCTCGCCCTGATGGGCCCAGAGCTGAGGGACCCATAGCAGCCCCAGCACCTCCTCCCGTTTACAGAAGGGGAGCCACACCCAGAAAGGCAGCAGGTCTCCAGCCAGGCCCAGCGTTCGGCACCTGCTCGCCCCACACCCCCGGCCTGAGGGCCCAGAGCAAATGGCCCAGTGCTCTTCCCGCCTGACTGCAGCCGCGTCCTTCATCCACATCTGCTCAGACGGCAGGTGTCGTGGACACCATCCGAGTGCCGGGCGCTGGCGGGACACACATCCACCAGTCCAATGAGAGAGCCATTGTGGCCCCTCGCTTAGGGTTAGGAGGCTATGGATAAAGGGGGTGATGAGACACAAAGCTTGTCAAAGAGACTTCCCTGGTGGTACAGTGGATAGGAATCCACCTGCGCATGTAGGAGACATGGGTTGGATTCCTGGTCCAGAAAGATCCCACGTGCCACAGAGCAGCTAGGCCCACCAGCCACAACTCCCAAGCCCACGTGCTCCTGAAGCCCATGCACTCTGGGGACGGTGCTCCCAACACAGAGTAGCCCTGCTCCCAGCAACCAGAGAGAGCCCTCGCAGCAATGAAGACCCAAGACAGCCAAACAAAAAACACTGTCAAAAAGGAAGCCTGTCATTCTTCAGCTGCCCCAGAGCACCTTGGTGTCTCCTCAGGGACCCACCTCAGGTCACTGCGGGCAGGGATGTGTAGATGCAAAGGATGTCACTGCAGGACAAGGTTCTAGTGAGGTTCAGAGGCTGAGGTGTGTGTTTCCAGCCGAGAAGGGGTGACGCTCAGAAAAAGAAAGCACTGGCCCCTAGCCCGCGTGGGTGAAGAAGCTGAGACTCTAAGCTTTCTGACTTGAGCCGTGAAGGGCAGAGGTCACCAGGGTCAGAGGACGGGCGAGGGGACGCTGGTGAGGTAGGAACAGGTAGGTCCCCACGGGCCAGCTATACCAGCCTGAGAGCTTGACTCTGCTAAAGGCCGTCAGAGCCAGGGGAAGGTCTCACTGGGGCTGTGACATGATGTGACCTTTGTCCTTCACTCGTTTGTCGACAACCGTGAGAGCCTCCCTGTGCCCATGTCCTCGGGGAGCGTGAGGTTGGGAGGGGAAGTCGGGTTTCTAGAGTGGCAGGTGGTGAGTGCAGTGTGGACAGCAGGAGAGGAAAACCAGTGCTGAGGAGGGGGCACATGTGGCTGAGATGTCCAGGAACTGCCCGTGGCCTCTTGTAGACACCCCCTAAGGCCGGAGTGGGCTTGGTCAGTGAAGGGGGCCTCTGGGGCTGTCTCCCCAGTGGACTCATCTCTTTGTGGGACCTGCTCCCCAGCTTCTAGCCCATTCCTCCCACCTTCTCAGGTTCCTAGGAGCCACCATTCTATACCATGACATCTCTGATGGGACTCCAATGGGGTGGGCACCTGGCCCATTGTGGGGGTCTCTCCTAACTAGAATTGGGGGTAGTGGTCAGTCTCTCCCCAGGAAGGTAGGCTCCAAGGTACAGAAGCCTGGGTTTCCGGACAGTCACTGTGAAGGAAGCAGTGGACACCAGGAGGAAGGGAAGTGGCTCAGAGAAGGGAGACCTAGAGCCATAGAGGCACTGGGTTTCTACATCCAGGAGACCCAGATGATCACCATGTGGTGAGCTTATCTGCCTGCTGGTGGTTCACCCACCACCGGGAGCCTTCCCATCAATTCCCTTCCCCTGAAGCTGCTTCACATTCGGTTTTTTTCTTCGCAATCAAGATAGGAATCTCCTTAAAGCCTCTGGATGCTACCAAAGGGAACTTGGCTGCCCTCCCCCAGTTCAGTTAGTTCAGTTCAATCGCTCAGTCCTGTCTGACTCTCCGACCCCATGGACTGTAGCACGACATGCCTCCCTGTCCATCACCAACTCCCGGAGCTTACTCAAACTCATGTCCATTAAGTTGATGATGCCATTCAACCATCTCATCCACTGCTGACCCCTTCTCCCGCTTTGAACCTTTCCCAGCATCTTTTCAAATGAGTCAGTTTTTCGCATCAGGTGGCCAAAGTATTGGAACTTCAGCTTCAGCATCAGTCCTTCCAATGGATATTCAGGACTGATTTCCTTTAGGATGGACTGGTTGGATCTCCTTGCAGTCCAAGGGACTCAAGAGTCTTCTCCAATGCCACAGTTCAAAAGCGTTAATTCTTCAGTGCTCAACTTTCTTTATACCAGTGAGCAGCAAAGCCAATCTGTTGACATTGCTTGTGGGGAAGCAAAGTTTTTTGCAGGTGCCAAGCAAGGAGCAACTCATACTCAAAAGACCCAAACTCCATGATGGCTTTCAGGGGAGGGTTTTAAAGGCCACATCAGGGGTGAGGATCTGAGGTGCGTGATCTGTTCATGGACCTTCTTCTGATGGGCTGGTGGTCCAGGTGCTGTTTTGGGAATCTCAGTCATCAACCTACCGGTTCCAGCCAGTCTGGGGCCTGACTGCTTGCAGTCAGCATATGGTCAGCATCCTCCACCTGGGCAGGGGTGGGTAGAGGGCAGGCTCCATTCCTGCAGAACAACTCAAGAGATTTGTGTCAGGTTGTTAGGTATAACCTTGAGGAGGAACTAGGTGTTCTGTGACTCTGTTGTTTAAGCTCTTCTTACTTTTCTTCTTTTTAATTTTATTTATTTGGCTGCACCAAGTCTTAGTTGTGGCATGAGGGAAAATTAGTTGAGGCATGCTGGATCTACTTCCCTGACTAGGGATCGAACTCCAGCCCTCTGCATTTGGAGTGCAGTGTCTTAACCACTGGACCACCAGGGAAGTCCCTAAGTGCTTCTTACTATCCTTGCTTGACTGCTTTCCTCTGTTTCCACATTCTCTCGCCTGTCTAGTTAGTAACTGCTTGAGTCTGTTCTTTGGAACTCAAGGAAGGCCCAGGAGACGTCCCTCTACAAACAAGAAATGGGGGACACGTGGGGCTTTTGTACCCAGAAAGACTTCACAGGGTCCAGCTCTGCTGTTTCAGTTCCTCGTTTCCTTGGATCCTCTTCAACCCTGAGGGGAATGGAGCAGGACGAGAAAAGGAATAAAGGACTGGGGTGGGGAGGTCAATCGTAAACATGGATTGAGGAACTCGGCTTTAGGGGGCCTCAGTTTCAAGGACGCTGCCTGTTCTGACCCCATGTCCAGTCCAGCCACCCTGGCTAACGGGTCCCAGAGTAAACCCAAGCTACTCCCTTCAAGTCCCGCCCAAGTCACAGGTTTGTGGTCGAATTAACTGTTGTTCTTCCTTAAGGCTATTTTGGTTCGTGACACAGCCATCAACCGCAGAGTATAAATAAATGTAGTTTCAAATTGAAAAATGGGGATTCCCTGGTGGCTTGGTAGTAAAGAGTCAGCCTGCCAACGTAGGAGACGCCAGTTTGATCCCTGGTCCAGGAAGATCCCATGAGCCACGGAACAACTAAGCCCATCCATGTGAACCACCGTGCCTATGCTATAGAGAACGGAAGCCGAAACTGCTGAAGCCCACTCTCCCCCTAGAGCCTGTCCACGACAAGAGAAGCCACTGCAATGAGAAATCCATGCGTGTCAACTAGAGAGTTGCCCCTGCTTGTCACAACTAGAGAAAAAGCTGGCAACAATGAAGACCTGGCACAGCCAAAAATAAATAAATTTTAAAATTGAAAGATGGAAAATATATAATTTAGAAACAGTGGTAAATATCAAAATTAAAACCTAACAGAGGGGGAAATGGTTGCCTTGGAGATGGGAAAAGGCAGTGAGAGAGACAGGAACCTGCTGCTTTGTTTTATTGTAACAAACCTTGTGGAGCTTTGTGATACGTCAAACTACATTAATGTATAACTTGGATAAAAATTAAAGCTAAAACTCAATTTTTTTTCTTTTTTTGGGTTTCTTTTTCCTTAGCAGACATGGACCTATGATGGATTTAAAAGGCTTCTTTATACACTCAGCAAGCGGTGTATTAAACAGTCTGTTATTCCAGTAACCAAAATAAAATTCTTGCTGACAGGAGACCTGGTATTGCCACTTAGCTAAAATGCCACCTAAGGTCTTTCATTTAAAGATTCAGGTAACAGTCTGGGTGGTGACGAGTCCTGGTTGCCTCAGTGGAGCCCCTAGGAGCCTTGCTTGTTCTTTGTCTGAGCCCAGGCCAGGGCGGTCCCTCAGGTGAGGCTGCCGGCCCAGGGGTGGCAGCTCCACAGTAGAGCTGTGCCTTGGGGGGCCCTGGCTGGAGGAGTTGGTGGGTCAGAGTCATGGACTTCAGGGTTAAATGGAGGGGGGCGGTTGGGTGTGGAAGCAGATTGAATGGAAGGAGGAAGGTGCCTCCCACTACATCTCCTACCACACTGCCACCCCCAGGACACCTCCACCCTCAGAGGGGAGCCTGCCTCTGCCAACTGCCTGGCCAAGCCTCCCTCCTGCCCAGGGCTCAGCTGCACCCCAGCCTGTGGCAGGCTGAGCCCGAGCTCAGTACTGAGATGGGGCTCCACAGTCATCGAGAGTCCTCCCCAGGGACTTCCCTGGTGGTCCAGAGGCTGACTCCGTGCTCCCAATGCAGGGGGCCTGGATTCAGTCCCTGGTCAGGGAACTAGATCCCATGTACTGCAACTAAGAGTTTGCACATGGCAGCTAAAGATCCCGCATGCTACATCTAACACCCAGCACAGCCAAAATTAAAAAAAAAAAGAATCCTCCCTAGGAGTGGGGAGTGGAGCTGTCCTGGGCTGTCTCCTGCCTCGGTGGTGGGGTGGTCCCCTTTCCTCTCCCCACCCCAGGCACCTGAGCCAAGTTCCTCTGTGGAAGAGAAATGCCTAGATATTTCTCCCTGGTAAGGAGGAATGAGCCAGAGGGAAACTGTCTACACAGACCTTGATTAGGAATTGTAAAACATTTGTTTTCTGGAAATGAGCTGCTTCATTTAACATTTGGTCACTTGTGTGTGGCTTTCTATGGGCTTCCCAGGTGGCACAGTGGTAAAGAAACCCGCCTGCCAATGCAGGAGATGCAGGAGACACAGGTTCGATCCCTGGGTCAGGAAGATCCCCCGGAGAAGGGAATGGCAACCCACTTCAGTATTCTTGCCTGGGAAATCCCACGGACAGAGGAGCCTGGCGGGCTACAGTCCGTGGGGTCTCAAAGAGTCAGATGCGACTGAGCATGCACACACTTGGCTTTCAGACCTCAGCTTGCAAAAGTGCCTTCAGAATATCAAGTCCTGCCTTCAGGTTAGGGTTTCACCCCTTCCCCACCTCCAGAACTGCCTCTGCACCAGGCCTGCGCTAACCGCCCTGTGACACAGGTACTGTTATTTTTTCCCATTTTGCAGATGAAGGCATTAAGACTTGAAGAGGTTAAGTGACAAAGAATATCTGTAATAATTGGTGGGTGTTGAATGAGCTTAGGCCCAAAATGTACTGATTTCTTTCAAATCAATGTTTCTCAAAGCTAAAGGTGTTCATATATCACTTTTGGGGGGCCACACTACATGGCTTATGGGATCTTTGTTACCCAACCAGGAATCAAACCTGAGCCCTGGCAGTGAAAGGGCCAAGTCCTAACCACTGGACCACTAGGGAATTCCTCACTTATCACCTTAATGAGTGTTTGCCATGGCCACAAGCTGCTTGTACTGTTCCTAATTTAATTTTTAATTAAATCAGTTTTTTAATTGAAGTATTGTTGACTTGGACTTCCCTGGTGTTTCAGATGGTAAAGAATCCGCCTACAATGCAGGAGACCTGGTGATCCCTGGATTGGAAAGATCCCCTGGAGAAGGGAATGGTTGCCCACTCCAGTATTCCTGCCCGGAGAATTTCATGGACAGAGGAGCCTGGTGGGCTATAGTCCATGGAGTCATAAAGAGTCAGTGCTTGGAGAAGGAAATGGCAACCCACTCCAGCATTCTTGCCTGGGAAATCCCATGAAGAGAGGAGCCTGGTGGGCTACAGCCCACGTAGTCACAAAGAGTCAAACACAACTGAGTGACTAACATTTTCACTTTCACAAAGACAGAAAGCAGACTGGTAGTTGCCTAGACTGGGGAGCTGGAAAGAAAACAGGTGTGCAGTTTCTTTTGGAGGTGATAAAAATGTACTAAAACTGACAGGCGATGTTTATACAATTCTGTAAATAAACTGAAAGTCACTGAATTAAATAGCTAATTAGATAAACTGTATGGTAAATGAATTGTATCTCAATAAACTTGTTATTTTAGAAAGCTGGAAAAAAAAAGAGTCAGTGCTATTTCAGGTATAAAAGCCATTCAGTTATATATATATAGATAGATATGTAGATATAATATTTTACATAACTATATATTCTTTTTCAGATTTGTTTCTGTTATAGATTATTATAAGATTGACTATAATTCCCTGTGCTATACAGTAAGCCCTTGTTGTTTATCTATTTTATATGTAGCTATGTGTATATATTAACCATAAACTCCTAATTTATCCCTCCCCCTCACTTTCCCCTTTGGTAACCAAAAGTTTACTTTCTATGCCTGTAATCTGTTTCTCTTAAATAAGTTCATTTGTAGCTTTTTTTTTAGTTTCCACTTATAAGTGATATCATTTGATATTTTTCTTCTCTATCTGACTTGCTTTAACTGTTTATGATAAACTCCAGGTCCATCCATGTTCCTGCAAATGGCATTTTTTTATTCTTTTTATGGCTGAGTAATATTCCACTGTACATATATACCATGTTTTCTTTATCCTTTCATCTGTTGATGGACATTTAGGTTGCTTATGTTGCTATAAACATTGGGATGCATATATCTTTTCAAATTAGAATCTTCTCCAGATATATGCCCAGGAATGAGATTGCTGGATCATTTGGTAAACTTAGTATTTTCCTTTAAATGAGCTCAGTTTTTCCTTGAATGTTTAGAAGAGAAAATCTGTAACTACAAGAAATGGAAGACTACCATCTCTAGCCATAAGGAAGGCAACTGTATATTTCAAACAGACAGAAAAGCAATATCAAACTCTGTTTAGATCCTGTGCCTGCCAGGCCTCTTGTGTCTAAAGCAGGCTTTATCCTTGTTTAAAGGAATATGGCAACATTAGGTGCATTTGGCCATCACAGGATTAACTGAGATTCTCTCCTTGACATCAGAGGGGTTGGAAGAGAATAGAAGAGATAGTGAGGTTCTCATTTTTTTTTTTTTTCTGTAAAAACACTGATTTTATTATTCAGAAAAAAACAAAAGGAGAAGACAGAAATAAAAATCTTGGTCATTTGCAGTATCTATCAGCTTTCAATTTGGCTCTCCTGTCCAGAAGTGTTTCATGCAAGAATCCATCTTTCCGGGCCTTTTTCAGAATTTTACTGTCTTCTTTACTTATTTTAAGCTTGTGGTCTTGGAAGCTCTGGAATTTCTTTACGTAATTGATTTCACACTGTTTGACATTTCCTTTGTCTTCTTCTGGAATATCATCTTTTTTCTTAGTTTCTCTTTCGGCGCAGGATCTGATCTTTATCATTTCTTCTTCTCCTGCTGTTTTACTTTTTGCTTCTATATCACCTGCTTCATTGCATCTAATAAAACAGCTATTGGAGGCCAGTAAAGCCATTTTCCCATCTTGAAAGACGGGTTCCCACTGCTCTCTAGGTCCAATTGCATCTGAACGCCCAACAAGAAGTCCATCTGAATTTATACCAAGGTATTTTCCATAGCCAGATTTCAGGGCAATTCTGGAATCAGACAATTTGACAGCTGTAAACTGCTCTGGAGGACTAGGGCCCTCATCAACTTCTTTATGCGGAGCTCCCAGTGTAAAAAGTCCATTGTCAAGTGCATGTATGTAGGTTCCTTTATCCATTTCAATTGCTATGGTTCCTGAAATCTCACCAAAGTTCGTTACTGTCCACCAGATTCCTTTTGGCCTTGGTTCCCTTGAGCACGAGTTTGGTGGACTTCACATAGGAGTATTCGGCCATGGTCGTGGCAAAACACGTGAACCGGCGCAGGAGCGGGCGAGGGAGGCACAACAGTGGAGACTGGGCCCGAGCTCCCGGAAAACGTACTCACCAGCGGAGTGGGCGCGTCTCCCCCCTGTCCCTGGCCTTTTTTTCACCCCAACGTCAACTCCCAAATAGAATTCCACTTCCTGTTTACAGCCTGGGTACGGCATCCGCAGAGGGCCGAAATAAATCCGAGTTGTTTTTTTTTTTTTGATGTTCTCATTTTTGAAGTTCAGTGGTCTTCTGTGTCTTGTCTGGATGCCAGGTAAAACACACCCCATTCCACCTAAAATAATCCAGAATACCGCACTGTAGAAATATGTGTATCCCACATTTCGGAAAATTCTGGTTGAAGTGAAAATGAGAAACACCGCAGGAACAGATATACCTAATCTTAGTCAAATTTCAAGGTCCTTCCTCTGTTTCTTTGATATATGAAATGTTCAGAATAGTGCATAAAACATAACGGTATAGCTTAAAGCATAATGATAGAATTGAACACTGAAATGACCACCAATCAAACCAAGAAATAGATAAAATAGCCAAACCTGCCAACCACACCCCATCCCCTTTCCCCTAAACAACCTATCCCTTCCTTTCCCACCAAAGGGAACCCCGAATTTTTTGAAAATCATTTTCTCATCATAGTTGTATCTGCAGTTATGGTTTAGTTTTAACTTGTCAACTTAAAGGAAAAAAATAACATAGGAGTTATGAGTTTTAGTTTGATTCAAGGACGTTATTGAGGACTATAGCCTGGGAAACAGCCTCTTAGATTGTCCCGAGGAGCTGCTCTAAGGAGCTGGGGGAGGAGTCAATATATATGTGAGAAATTTTTGCCTATGAAAAAATGGCAAGCATACATCTTGGTAAAAGATTACTGCTCATCAGGAAGAATAGATATCTCAAGCTAATCATTCTAGTTGCTTTTCTATGTATGGCTCATTGGAATTATTCCTGAGGTGTGCATCTTAACAGTCTCAAAGAGCCAGCAGTGAGTGGGGGCTTGGAGTGAGATGTTAGTTCTCTTGAACCTAGGTAGCCTAGATGAAAATCGGGAATCCTAGCCACTAACCCACCAGGGGCTACCAGCTAGAAACAAAATTCCCCTGGCTCATACCCTCCTTGTGTAGGTTTGATCCCTGGGTTTGGAAGATTGCCTGGAGGAGGAAATGGCAACCCACTCCAGTATTCTTGCCTGGAAAATCTGATGGGCCGAGGAGCCTGGTGGTCTACAGTCCATGGAGCCTCAAAGAGTCGGACACAACTAAGCGAATGAGAACATACCCTCATTGAAAACTGCATTTCTCAAGGATGTAAAAACTGTAAAAACAGGTATAAAATTTATTATTAGAGACAGCAAAAGTGGGGAGAGCACTCAGAGAAATTGCTTAGTTAAGACAGAGGCAAGGCAGAGACGCACATCTGGAGAGAAAGGTACAGGCATCCCCCTAGGGAGGAAGAGTGAAGTAAAGAGGTGGTTAAGTCATTTATAGAGGGCAGTTCTTCTGGGTCTTTGTTTACCTTTGGCCAATTATCTGGTTTTCTTTTCCCACACCTGCCCTACCCTAGGACCCTCCCCAATATGTGTGTGCAAGTATTTTCCAAAATGGATTCCAGCCCAGAGGCCTATGGGGGGCTTTGGCATCACCTATTCTGGGGTGGTGCCCCCTCCTTTTTGACCCCTAAGAAGTATTTTATGCACATGTGCAATGTCTCCCTTGCCCCCAGGATGGAAAATATATGGATCTTTTACTCAAGGGTTTAGCCCCTCTCCATTCCTGCCATGACTGTTATCTTACAGTGCCTCAGGAGACAAAGCCTGACTATTTACTCTGTTTCTGTTGTTATTTCTGTTTCAAAGTGCCAACAGGAGGCTGATAGTAAATGCCTAACCTGGAGCCCACCTAATCTCCTGTCTCTGGAAATGTAAACAGGAGACTCATTGTAAATGTCTGGTCTGAAGCCCATGTTTTTGCTGCCCAAAGGAATGTAATCAAGAGGACAGTTGTAAGTGGAGCCTGGAATCCATCTATCTCCTGCCTCACTAACTGTCTGAAAGCAAAAAAACAGTGAGGGGCTTCCCTGGTGGCTTAGATGGTAAAGAATCTGCCCGCGATGCAGCAGACCTGGGTTTGATCCCTGGGTCAGGAAGATCCCCTGCAGAATGGAACGGCCAGGAATTAACTGAATAGGGACCCATTTATCCAAAATATGAAATCCCTCACCCTGTTTTTTCCATCATGAATTCCCCTGAGGATACACCGTAGGTAGATGACTGCAATGGATTTCTGTTTAAACCTCTGTATAACTGGATAGTGAGGGATACTCTCTGTTCCTTTGTTATTATTCTTACAGTCTCTCCCCTTTGTGGTCATAAGTTCAACCAAAGTTTGGGAGGCAGCATCTCATGGCAAATTTGTCCCATGGCGCTAGGAAGTCTTATTCCTAGATCAAATGAGGATTCCATTGATAGGTCATTCATGTACCTTGTCTGGATTAGGTCATGTTAACAACCTAAAACTTCTCTGGGTCACTTGTCTTACTAGTCTATAATGATCCAGGAAATGTTTCCCCACTGTTACTCCTTCCCATATCTAGAGTTGTTGCTGTTTATTTGCTAAGTTGTGTCGGACTTTTTTGCAATCCCATGGACTATAGCCCCCAGGCTCCTCTGTCCATGGGATTTCCCAGACAAAAGTACTGGAGTGGGTTGCCATTTCCTTCTCCAGAGGATCTTACCAACCCGGGGATGGAACTCCTGTCTCCTGTATTGGCAGGCAGATTCTTTACCACTGAGCCACCAGAGTTGTACCACTACAATTAGTTTTATGGAGAGCTACATACGTGATCGATTGCCTCAGGACATTTAATCATCATTAATTTGGTCAGAAAACTGCTTACCTATCAGGTAACATAAGAAATAACAATCTTATAAAACAGACAGGATATAAATAATACAGCTAGCTAGTACATTATGAAGGTCATAGAACAGCAGCAAGAGAAAGAAGGAAGGATTTATTACTTGTGGCAAGTAGGGAGAACACAAAGATATTCCCAAAGCAGCTTCTTCCCAAAAAGCAAAATTTGGGAATTTTCATGCTAAGGGTACATGCTTGTTCATGGAAGGGGCTTGGGCAATGGACAGAGTTCAAAATGTAGTTGATTGAAATCATGAGTGTCCACAAAGGCCGTCATACGTGACTTAGATTCCAATTGATCTGATGGTTGAGCACCTTAGGAGGATGATTTAAATTCTTCAAACTTCTCAAGATAGTGCTCCAGGCTAATTTTTACCACTGAAATAAGATTGGGAGTCTTTATCAGTTCAGTTCAGTTTAGTCGCTCAGTCATGTCCTACTCTTTGCAACCCCATGGACTGCAGCACGCCAACCTTCTTTATACAAGCCATGGAGAGTCTTTATACCTGATTTCTTACATTTACAATTGTTACAATTGTTCTCTTGCCTGGTAAGTTTGCCCTTCTCCTGAGATCACTATTACCAAGACCTGTGCAAGGGAAAGCACTGTGTCCAGGCTTACATGACAAAATGGTTTGGGTCAAGACATATCTCTCATGTCAGAGAAGAGATATAAGTCTCTCCAGTTCTCTTTCTCCAGGGACCCCCTACCCAATCTGGGTACACCATCCACAGGTAGAGACATATAGATAACATACATACAGCAAGTAAGCAGAAGCAGAGATCTCATAATTTCATTTCAAAACTTACTCATGTATCAGGTATTACAGTATAAAACTAATTTATAAATGGACTTTCCAGGTGGCACAGTGGTAAAGAATCCACCTGCCAATGCAGGAGATGCAGGAGACTCAGGTTCAATCCCTGGGTCAGAAAGATTCCCTGAAGAAGGGAATGGCAACCCACTCCAGTATTCTTGCCTGGGAAATATCCCATGGACAGAGGAGCCTACTGGGCTACAGTCCACGAGGTTGCAAAAGAGTCAGACACAACTGAGGACAAACATACACACAACAAATCAACAGAACCAAAAATCTCATGCATGCTTGGTTGCTCAGTCGTGACCAGCTCTTCTGCAAACCCATGGACTGTAGCCCACCAGGCTCCTGTCCATAGGATTTCCCAGGCAAATATACTGGAATGAGTAGCCATTCCTTTCTCCAGGGGATCTTCCTGACTCAGGGATCAAACCCAAGTCTCTGGCATTGCAGCCAGATTCTTCACCATCTAAGCCACCAGGTATAGCATATTGAAATATGAAAATATATAATAAAATATATAAATATATAATATATTATAATATAAAACCAGTTTATAAATACCAGTTCAAATAAGTTTATCTGCTCAAATGGCTAAAGCTTTTTACTAGTTGCAGAAAACACTGAAGATTTGTATTCACTTTGACAAATCCTTAAAGAGGCTGTGAATTAGATTTTGGATGATGGGGTAGTTTGAATTTTAAAAGGCCTCTTTTCCTTTTTCCCCCTTTGGTTTCAAGTTCTACTTGATAGAGTTAACTGGGCTCAGTTTTAGGCCATTATGGGCTGTATTTCCATTTCTGATTTCTAGAGGTTGGCAAGACAAGGACAGTTGCTTCTGATTCCCAAAGGAGCTGGCCTGCCACCTAAATGATGTCAAAAGATTGATTTGCCCAACTACATTTTCTTTCATTTTCTTCTTTATATTACTTAGAGTATTTCCAACTAAAATGGAAATAAAAAGATTTCTATATTCTAGAACTTTAGGATTAAAACTAGCATGCCTTCAAGAGTTTGCACAGGGTGTTCAATAAAGGCCATTCTTTCTGATCTGGGTTTCTGCTCAAACTCAGACCAATTCATCCTAGGAGGGAAAAAAATCTCCATCATTGCTTCTATTAGTTCCTGGCTTTTACCAAATACTGAATGAACTCAGGTAACCCTATTGATTTCCTTTAGTATTTTGAACTAACATTTTTGAGAGGCAGATTTATATGGGCTGTCTTACATGCCAGGCAGGGGAAAATTTCCCAGTGAGATATAGGTCCAACCCCACAATACAATCCAGAAAAGGAGAAGTAGCCATCTTATATAAAGCTCACTCAGTTTTCTGTAAACTTGCATCTCTCAAACAAGTCCACTCCACTAGCCCAAGTTTAGAAAAATGTAGAAGGCTGGGAGAAAAAAGTTACACTTCAGATATTTGATCAGCAATGACTTGGGGCAACAGTTAGA